AGTGTCATGAAGAAGACAAGGAAGAGCGCAAAAGGCAACTGTGTTAACTGGCGGCCTCTACAAACGGACGCCGGTACATTCTAAAGATAAAGGAAAGAAGAAAATGCAATTGAAAATACAACTGTCCAACGCCACAGATTCAGATGTAAATGATGGAGACTCAAGTTGGTTTTGCTTCTTGTGTGCCAAAAGCAGTAAAGAGGACATGATTCGGTGTCTGCAGTGCCCCAGCTTGGTCCACAACCCTTGTTCTAAAGTGAAACAAAGCATGAAGAAGTACCACTATACGTGCACCGCGAGGTAGACTCTTCTTGATAGCCTACTTTAAGCCACAAGGAAGTTAAATGTCAATTTTGTAAGCCTACCAAAGATGTAATTACTTCTAAAGTACACAAACGTATTTTGAATTATCAGTTTATCACGATGTACAACGTATTTGTGCTCCCCCACTACAGTTTAATGGTTATGTTTCTGTCTTTTTACTTTATTTTAAAGTTTTGAACAATTTTCTTAGACTGTAGAATTAATTTCATTGGCTCTGGGGAATGGCCCAATGTAGGAAACCTGCGGTCCAATTTACGAAACCAGTTGCCTAGAATGGACTGGTGTCAATAGTTTAGTTTTTTGTAATCATACTTTTATTAAAAGTCTTTGGTCACGAAAGTACATAGATGCTTGTCTTATTCCCATCTTTGTTTCCTTCTGCAATGTTTCATGTTTGCGTACAAGACAAAAATTAAAAACTGGTACAAATTTGGCAACTCTCCCTTGTTCATGTATGTTCGAGACAACTCACAATCGTAATCCCTATTATTCGAGCGATCGAAAACTGCACACGCTTCAGACTGCACAGCCGCAGTAACTGGCACAGACTATTTCTGGCTTTCAATAACATTGTACAAGTTGAAGATAAATACTGAAAGCATCGCCATGCGTTTAGTAGATTACAGTGTTCAGACAATTCGAAATACTACTGCTGCTGCTGTTTGAACGAGGCTACGTTTCATTTCGAATTCTGAATGTTAAATTACGACTCCTAGCTATCACGCTGCCCACTTACGTTCATCATGTTCCTGTAAGTGTGTAACTGAGCAGTTGCGACAAGCAACAATATAGAGCAGCTTCGGATTATTGCAATTTTCATGTCCCTGTAAGTGTCTAACTGAGCAGTTGCGACAAGCAACAAGATAGAGCAGCTTGGGATTATTGCGATTTTCATGTTCCTGTAAGTGTCTAACTGAGCAGTTGCGACAAGCAACAAGATAGAGCAGCTTCAGATTATTGCAATTTTCATGTTCCTGTAAGTGTCTAACTGAGCAGTTGCGACAAGCAACAAGATAGAGCAGCTTGGGATTATTGCGATTGAACATCCGGAAGTCTCTCAGTTCGGAATATGATCGTTTTGTTTTACACTGAATTTAAAACTCCACAGTACTTACATGAGAGCATGAGAACTTGGCCCTAAATCTTAATTACACAATGTTACAAAAGCCGCTAACGTAACGCGTCAATATTGTCACGAGTAGAGGGTTAAGCATGGCGAAAATAACGGGTTCTAGTTTTTATGATGGGCTTTATTAGCTCTACGGTTACACTCTCTCTCTCCTGATTACAATTAATACAGCGCTATCGCTGATTTACACAATTTACAGTGCACTATTGCACACGCACTAGGATTCTCAGTTTCCACTAGTCGTCTCCTAGCAACGGATCTCAACAAAGAAACTAGCACTTCAAATCACTGTGAAGTCTTCTTGTTATTTCGTCTTCAATCGCTCTGTACTCCTCTGTCCTAATATGTACTCAATTAATCTTCACAGTTCACTAAGGACACGCTCCTTTCTCGTCCTTGTACTCTCAACTGCTTAACCCTCCTTGACTCTCTTTAGCTGCAAGCGAACTCGTGTTATATAGCCTCGGCACGGACAACGCAGAAAACACGGTTCTACTGTTGCGTAGTGCAGACCACACAGAAAACAAATCACATTATATCTATCTCGCCAGTCCATTGGCGTGATGACTGTTGCCTAGCAATGAGCTATGAACATTCGTCCTATTGCTGCGTGCGCGTATCGCGAGTTGTTTATCGAACCATTGCCTGGCAATGCGTTCCTGTGCCTCCCCTTCTATCAACTTTTAAATGCGTGAACCAATCTTTATGAAACTTGGTATGTATATCATGGTACCTGACCCCATGCCAAGGGCGTACTTCATACATCCCTCCCATCCAACGGCATACTTCGCAAGTCCTTCTCATTATCTGTGTGTTTGTATGTGTATCCCTCCTATCGTTGCAAGGCAACGGCTCGTTTACTCGTAAGTGTATCCCTCCTTTCGGTGCTAGACAACAGCTCGGTAAACATGTTGCCACGGAAAAGTGTTAGAGCTACTCCCGACTGGGTTTTGGATTGGAGATTGGATCTATTGGCCACTTTAACACACGACTTGACTACACTTAATTATAGCGCCATTGCTAATTTCCAGATTTTACAGATCACTAGATCACACGCTAAATCTTTTCCAGCCTGCAGTGTCTTCACTAGTAGTTGCCTGGTTAACGGCTTCTAACCATGATTATTCCTCTGCTTCGGTGCTCAATTTCTCTCCGAACGGCGGCTCCGTTCAAACTGTCTACCTTCTTTACAACTGACTCGCGGCCATTTCCCGCCAACCTTCTATCCTTCTCAACTGAGCACTGTTACAACTCCAATTAAGTGTTCTCTTCACATACTAACTGGATAAGCTCTAACCTTGTCCTTTGCTTACAACATCTCAACATGGACCACGCAGGAAACACCATTCCTGTGTTGCAAGCGTATCCGTTGCAGCGGGAACGTATTTACCGAGCAGCTCCCTAGCAGTGGCCGTCTATTCTTGCTTATAGAGAATCTGCTGCCTAGCAACGGATGTCGTTCCGTTGTGTGTTTCGATGCCGCTGCTTAGAAACGAATGTTGCTTCAGAGCCGTTCGCTAGCAACGGCTGTTTATCTGGCTCCACAGTTCTTGCTTTGAGCAAATACGACACAGCACGCAACAATAAAGGAATTGAACGCGTAATTTTCCGCACGGTCCGTGTCTTATCAAAGGAGTGTGGGTCTGTCTGTACCGTTGTTGGGTAACAACTTGGTAAAGACATCCCTGCGATAAAGAAGAACTGTTGGAGGCGTAGTTTTCTATGCGGTCCGCGTTGTATCAAAGGAAATTAGGCGATTAGTTCTTTGTTACGTCTGTCATTTAGCGACCCTCTCAGTACCGAAACTGTATAGCGTCGATGATAGGGTGATTCATGAATCAGGAGCAGTTAGTGGAATGAGAATTTGCAGGGGAAGCCCAAATACTCAAAGAACACCTGCTCTGATGCCACTTTGTCCACCACAATAAGGCCTGACCTGAGATCTAACCCGGGTCGCGGCAGTGAGAAGCCGGCGTCATGCTATGGTAGAAGATTTTATTTCACTGATTTCATATAGTACCTACGACGTTCACAGCATGCATGTCCATTGCCTCTGGGTGAAAAGTACCAACACTCATATCATGGCATTCATCACTATGAACTTTACAAATCAATGCAATTGTCACTGTACCAGTTTGCTATTTATATTTTATAGTTTCTGTGTCATCAGTCAGAATCTGAAATAATCACTGCATGTTTTCAGACAAGTCCTGTGTTTTATGATGTCCGTTACCTTGAGAACATGTCATATAAAGAAAATACACATAATATTAATAATAATAGATTTTATATCTATAATTCTCGTTGAATAATCCTATGGCTATTACCAGAAATGTTATGTTTTATAATTGTATTTGATCTTTCGTTCAAAGTAGTACCCATTTGTTCAACTTGCTCAGTTCTAGATCTGCTACATAATGACGTCAGCTGCTGGAAAATAACATAAGAATTATGAAACAGTCTCGAAGAACATAGAAGTTGTCGTTTGTAAAGGCCCTGTCACGGCATTTGGCTATTTGGCTGTAGCGATTGTGAGAAACTACAATATGGACTAGACCAGTGGTTCTCAACTTTCGTGAGACCGCGGCCCGGTAAATTCTTTTCTTATAAGACGAGGGCTCGGTAAAACTGATGCCAAGGTCCGGCACTGGGCCGCGGCCCGGTGGTTGAGAAACAATGGACTACACGACCGATCGCCCGTCCAAAATTCGAATTGGTTTCCTTTATAATCGCGGAAGAAGTTATAAACACTAGCTCAATTGTCCACCTAATAATGAATTTTGCCATTATTCTAGGCGCCGGAAATATAACGTTTAATCGAAGTCCTTTATTTATATAATTACTTTTACGCGGTACATACGGACACGATGCAGATAATGGGCACTTGTGCAAAAGGAGACGCTTTAATAAATGTGTATTTTAAGCACCCTTAGATTAATTACAATCCGATCATTAGAGTCACGCTTTAGCTGCCAGTCTACTGTGGGTAAAAAAGAGGACTTCCTGGAGCTTTCCTTGCCAGAGGTACGTAGGAAAATACACTAATCAACAAATTATTCAGATTATCGCTGTTTGTCGAGACAAAGGGATTTCGCTAACAGACCATTGGTCTGTAGCTGTGACGTCATGTTCCCGCTGAAGGTCATCATCAGACCGAGGTCACAATAAAGTCTTCTTACTTCCTATTAGATAGGTAAATAAATCGTAATAATAAGGAATGAAATGTTACTCGTTCTTAATCCACACTCACAAATCTCACTTTACTTATTCTGGATTTAACGCATTTAAAACACAATTAAATGCATCCTATGCATAATAATCAAAGAAGATTCGCAACTGATAAACTATATTTCTATAATCGTCTGCCATCCACAGGGGTCAATATATTCAAACATCAAGGTCATTGTAAATGAGATTTTAGACGAAAATTCATATTTTGCCTTTCTCCCGATTTACTGCATGAAGAAGCTACCATAGTTCCCAAATATGCCTACTACTTGAAAGAAACGCATTATATTGATTCGATCAGCTGAGATGGTAAACAAACCTCGTCGTCGTGTCCATATTCTCTTGCTGTGTCCCTTGGCGACCACATTCCAATATCTTCTTTTTCTCCCAGCCTTCTTCTGTTTTTACCCATTCTTCACCTGGTGAACGCCAATCTTTTGATATGAAAGGCATAGTCTTGTGTTTTTGAGAGTTAACACGCCACCAGCAACACAACGTACTCCACGCACATCAAATATGAAACTGTATTACCAAAACATTAACGCGCATGGCTTTGTTGTCTGGTTTGACGTCTTCCAATCAGCTGACAGAATCATATGTTCACAACATCGTCCATTTTCACAACGAATTTCTCTTCACACTGTTGTTACTACATCTGCTGAGAGAAAATGGAAACATGCACGAAAAACCTGTCACCTAGGAAGCTTGGTTGAACTATATTGTCTTTGCCGTCTTCGTAGAGCGCGTAGTGGCCATATTGACGGTATTGGCCAATGACGAAGAGGTTCACGGTCTTCACAGTCTTCAAGGTGCTTATGTGTAGTGGGCAATTGAATAGATAGTTAATGTTTGGTGTAAGGTACTTCTGAATATTTTGTGGGTTAGATGTTTTAAAGAGGACGACATTTAAAAGAGACTTAACTGGATTATGTATTGATTAGTTCAAGACAAGTTTCTACTAAGGTCAAATGAATGTTTAGTAACGTCCAATCATAACCTATTTTCTTAATATATGTAGCACGATTTTTGGCATTTCGTTAACGTTTATTACATAAGAAAAACATCTGTGCATTCACGATAATACGGACTTTGATTCCAAGACCGGACTGTGAAGAATTAACGCCGTAGCAACACTAATAAATACTTCCTTTTTCATCAGGTTGGCATTTAATCGAACCGGACAATGGGAGATAATGAGCAGATGCCAAAAGTTGATCTTGTGAAGGATAAAGCCAATATTTCCCGCACCACTGTCGATTATATGAAAATTGTGGAAAAAGAAAACCTGCGTAGAGTTCAGGAACTACAAAAGCTGAGGCAGAGGAACGTCAGAACTGGTTTGATGTTAGGTGCCGGTGTACTTGGAATCTATTTGTACACCATTTTCGCTGTCAGACAAGAGAAGTTCTTAGATGACTTTGACGAACCAGCCACAACGAGCAACTAGGCCTCTGTAACATCTTAATTTTTATAGCTGTAGATTTAATTACTCTGAATTATTTTCAAGATGTCTGTAGCACGCAGTGTACAAGAGACCATGCGGCTTCCACCATTACCAACAATTAAAGATATACTGAGGCTCTATCGCTTGCGTGCCTTACGGCAGTTGTCACAAAATTTTCTGCTGGACCAACGCCTGACAGACAAAATCGTGAAAGCAGCTGGCAACATAAGGAACAGCGAGGTTTGTGAAGTTGGACCTGGTCCTGGTGGAATAACCCGCTCTATACTCAACAGAGGGCCAAGTCAACTCATTGTCATAGAAAAGGACAGACGTTTTAAACCTGTTTTAGATGTGAGTTTCAGCCAGTTTCTCAGAGGCATTTGGAGTTAAATTTGACATTTGAAATAATAATACATGTGTATATGAAATCCTTTATAGGAGCACAGACAGAAAGTGACCTATCCCATCGCTCAGTACCAATTTAGCATATAAAAGACTTCTTGTAAGGAACACTGAAATTAGAATATTGACCTACTACTAATATTTCTTACCTGTACAGTGTTTTCACAGTTAACACTGTTTACCGAGGCATCTGGTGTATACTTTCAATAGTAAAACAAATACTTCTGCGTTTACTTGAACAGTTTTATATTTCTCCTTTTAATTAGAAATCTTGGAGTGCAGAATTATTTATTTTTCACTCTTTGTACTCTGCAAAGTGTGAATAAAATGTAATCCTATGGCTGACATTACATTCAATGCCAGACTGCTCTTTGAATTTGGGACTTTGTAACAAAATTTACTAAAGAAAGCGTTGTCAGTTTGAAAATTTCACATTTACATCAGTGGCATAGACAGTGTGCAAATAAGAGAAGAGAGTTTCTTTTTTAATTGAAATTTCTGACCCCCTCCACCTGCTGTTAGAACTAAAATCAGAACTTCTGTTTAGCTCTTGGAGGAGTCATCTAACCAGTGCATGAAGGTTATCCTAGGAGATGTAATGAATTTTGACATGAGCAAAATATTTTCTGAGAACAAGAGGCAGGAATGGGAGGACTGCCCACCACATATACACATCATTGGTAATCTTCCATTTAGTGTGTCAACACCGCTCATCATCCGCTGGCTGCAAGCAATGTCTGAGAGGTATGTCACAAGTTTCTACTATTTCACTGTAAACCTACTTGAGGTCGACTGACTTGATGGTACAAGGTCTTCCTTCAGCAGATCATAGCTGTTAGCTTGACAAGAATTTTTGTGCCATCAAGGAAGACGCAGATCCATTACCATGTTTACAAAAGCCTACCATTAAATCATGTCCCTAACCAGCTGAATGCAATCCTCACTTTCACAATCTGTTTCCCTAGAAGTTACTTTTATGTCTCCTGTGCATGAACTGTGAAGTTAAAGCATATAATTAAAGATGTGTTTAAAACTCCTAAATGGATTTTGATTAAATGTGGTATGTGAGGATTATTTTAGATGTCATTGTCCAAATGTAATTTTGGTTTGTATGAGCCTGGTATACCTATCAAATGAAAATTTTATTAATTTTCTCAAACACAGATCTCATTCATAAAGCAAAATATAAATCTCATTAAAATCTACATTTTCAGAACATGTGTTTATATAGTCAATATTTAATGAAATATAAGCAAAAACAATATATGACTGCATGGTATAGTGACTGTCTACAGGCTGGATGACCAAGGGGTCAGATTAAGTCCCAGTGGGGCTAAGAATTTTCACTTTTCCATGTCGTCCAGACCGGCTCTCAGGTCAACCCAGCCTCGTATGGATACCAGGGGTGAAGCTGACCACTCACCTCCAACTGGTGCAGGGGTCAAGAAAATGTAGATCTATACCCCCACTCTGCCACAGACCTTCATAGCATAGTGCTTAGTTAAGCACAGGGACAGCTTTACCTTACTTTACTGCATGATAGCTTTCAAACAATAGATTTTTGTTTGCAATAATTGGGCATTCAGGTGGATGAGGTGTGTATGTAAAACAGTAACGAATTCACTTACTAATATTATGTATATTCCATTCCAGTGTATACATGTTTGTAATGTTACCTTTCCTTCAGCCCCAGCATCTCCCAAATGATCTTACCTCTTGTGGTTTTAACCAAGATCTTGTATGGCTTGCTTAGTCAACCGATTCACCATTCATCATGTTAATTGGTTAGAAAGAACTCGGTAACAAGCTGACAGCAAAACTCAACTGTTAACACAGTGACATTTTCCAAGTCAGAATTACAGTTGTTTTTCTTCTTTCAGGAAAAATGCCTGGTCTTACGGTCGTACCCGGCTCACGTTAACATTTCAGAAGGAAGTGGGAGAACGAATGGTTGCTGACATCATGTCAGCACAACGCTGTCGACTGTCTGTCATGTGCCAGAATTGGTGCACAGTGGAACACAAATTCATTATACCTGGTATGTTACACTGACAGCTCAAGCACATGAAGATGCAAGTATGTTCAGAAAAGCAAACACAAACAAGTACTTAAGATCTAGAGGTTTGTGATGGTGGTATTTTAATACTGTTATTAAGTTTTTGGACATATCTGTCATTGTGTTTTTATATATGTATTTAAACACAACATTTTGGAGACTGTTCAGTCTCCGTCTTCAACTAAAACCCTACTCAGGTGGGCCCAATTGTTAGAGTTAGTCCCAGTATCTGGAGGTAGGGACTACCTCTACTGATGGGGCCCAACTGAGTAGGCTTTCACTTGAAGATGGAGACATAATCCAGTCTCTGAAACTTTGTGTTTTAAATAAAAAAACAGGACAGTGAATAATGTCCAGAAACTTGATAATTGTACAAATAAGTACTGATTAACTGGTCATATTGATGTACTCTAGGATTTGTAACTTGTTCAGTGCAGAAGGTTCACCTGGAAGAGGTTACAGTAAAGTGTAGCAGGAGGTAACATTAAAATCTCAGTCAGGTCAACACTTATCTTGGCTTTCCTCACTTTCACCACAGAATTATGTGACAGAAGCTTCAAGTAAGCCACAGCTGCATCCTTCCATATTCTTACTACTTGCTCCCTGGGACCATCTTCCTATGTGAGTCACCAATATCCAACTGATGCAGTTCAAATAGTGTTGTTAAATAGTCTAATAATCTTTTATCAGCTCCTGTGTATCAAGCACATGCCAAACAGTGCACCATGATGTTCCAGGAAGAGCATTTATTCCTAAACCAGAAGTGGATGTCAGTGTCGTACGCTTCACACCATTGGTTCAACCCCAGATTCCTCTACCATTCAAACTAGTGGAGAAAGTCGTGCGCAACATATTTGGTTTCCGTCAGAAGTACAGCATCCGAGGGGCAGAGTGAGTACATGCACAGCTGATCTTGGCCTGCCGTCTGGTGGTGAATATGAACACTTGCTGTTGATAACATCCTTTCTATGGCCTGTATAGCACTAAAAAATTACTGATCATAAAAATTTGATGCTCCAACACACAGTGAGATATATCTACCTGGGTATATTACAGTTCACAAGTTAAATGTACAAACAGCATCCTAACATGTTTGGAAAGAGCTCTCTGTCCCTGATATTGGTGTCAGCCAGAGAGGGAAAATTTACTCTTAAAAGTTAAGAAATGTAAATACAGGGAATTTCTTTTGTGGCTGTGCTGGTACATGGCCTTTCCACTATGATCAGATTTGGTGACAGTGAGAGTGAAGTTTACTCGCCTGCATTACAGGTGAGGAAGTAGTTCCAAATTCTTTCAAATTATAAAAGGAACACTATGGAACAGATTTCTGAAAACAACGCAGAACAATAATCTGAAGTATGTTTTAAGATTGTGACATTTCGTGCTGAACATTGGTCAGTACAGAGGGAAACACGAGTAAAATTTAAGCATTAGATATGAAATTTCTTATATTGAGAGATAAATAAGATGGTATAGAATTAGGAATGGAGGTAAAGGTAAAGCTATGTTATCCCTGTAACAGGTCATGGAGGCCCACAGGATTGTGAGACATTTTCTAGACAATCGGCTCACAGATGGCTGAGGTTGTCAGCCTTATGCACTGGCCACCCTTTATCCTCAGGAAGATTCTTTGTACTCATTTCTGTTTGAGGCTGAGTCAACCCCAGGGCCATAGTACAGCTGAAAGGATTAGGTCAATTGAAAAACCTAATGCCCTCACCACATGTAGCATATATGATTTCGAGGAAATATTGCAATCCAAAATTTGTTAATAGATATAGACAAGAAATTACTGCCATAGTTCTGGATGTGTAAAGAGAACGGATAGAACAAGTATACAAAGAAGATCACTACAGTTGAACTTTAGTGGAAACAAACCTATGGGATGACCAAGAAAAGATGCTTCAGCCAGGTACTAGAAGACTCCAAGAAGAGAGAAAAGAGCTGGTTAGGAATCAAAAAGAAAAGTTGACCGGCTGTCAAACAGCCCACTAGGAGGAGGAGGAGGAGGAGACAGATGCTGCAAATGTTTCCTTTTGGCTTCTTGCAGTTCTCTGGATGTACAGGACACTTCAGCTTTGAGAAATTCACACCCTACTCAGAATCACATGGAATAATGTTAGGAAAATGAGGTGGCCATGACTCATAGCTCTTTCACCATATACACAGTTCAGGGTTCCTCAGTGATATGTGCAAATGCAGAATCCTATCAGAAAGATCCACATTATTGCAAAGAATGCACAACTTTGGTTTCGTAAGGCCATAGTTTCAGTGAGTCTGTAGCAGTTCTCTCTCAGTCCTATTTGACACCCGTGGTTCTCGAATATGGCTAATGTTCTACCCAAGGTTCAATATTGTCCATCTTTCCTTTTGGTAATACTTGATAATGATTTGGTTTCTGTAGGGAACTCCAACTCCAGGAGTCTTTATTCAGAATTTTTTGCACATAACACAGTCACACATGAATAATGGAGTTACTTATAATATCACCTCTTCTTATCATTGCTGCTGCTGCCAACTCGTGAAGTTAACCTTCACACTATAATGTTGCTGCAATCTCACTACCGCCATGGCCAAGTAAGAAAGGTGGTAGCCAATGGAATGATTGCACATAACAGAAAGCCCATGCATCAGGACAGCTGCTAAATTACTGCAGACACACATCTTGTGTGCATTTTGAAATACTTGAAATGTCTGTAGTTTCCACAGTCTGTCTCACAATCCAATTTGTATATGTTCCTTGGAACTTTTTAATTTTAAGGTATAGTTAAATACATTCAGTAAAATTTGTCTGTCATTCTTTAGTTTTAAGAACATGCCTTTGTTTCATGCTTTACAAAAACACCATTGCCATTCTCGCTCTTCTGTAAATCTCCTTACTGCATTGCAAGCAAGACTAAAGATAAGAAGACGGTATAGATGTGCTGTTTCAAGGGTGACAACACAAAGAACATGTTTCAAGGTACTATAATGTGCATATTTGTAATCTAGAAAACTAATATACTGAAATTCATTCCAGTATAACAAAAACATGGTTTTGTCATTTGCTTGGTGAAAATTTAAATAGCCCAAAATATTGCTCTCACGTGAAGAAAGACAAAGATTTGAATACCCCCACTTATAAAAATAACAGTTCTCTGTAGCATTCCATATGACTGGGATGTTTTCATACTTCACATACTGTGTTCCTCTGCCAAGCATGTTGGTGAAGTGACGGATATTCAGGGTGTATCAAGTTCAGCTCTCTGTTAGGCTAACGAAGTCCCCAACGAGTCCAACGGTGCTATCGGGAACTTCCCAGGCAGTTATTGTTGTAATTGCCTCAGTGAAAGAAGATGAGAGATGAGGCCAAGGTCACATTTCTGCAAGCCTATTGCATCAGTCAGCCATGTGACACTGTGCTGTGAACATGCATTGTTTTTACACAAGTGCTTTTTCAGCTTCTTGTTTTCTTTTGTCTATGATGGATGGCAAAACTGAGCAACATATCCGCATCAAGCTCTGTGTGAAGCCAGACAGCGGTTTTTGAATGGCATTTACATTTCAAGGCTGATTGAGTGTCAGTTGAAGATGACGAACGTTCGGGGCGACCAAGCACCAGCAAAACAGCAGGTGTTGAAAAAATTCAAGAACTCATCCATGAAGACTCGCTGAACAATCCATGAGGTCGCAGACACCATTGGGATCAGTTATGGAGTTTGCCGGAAGATCTTAACAGAAAATTTGAACATGCACCGCATTGCCGCAAAGTTTGTTCCCCCGACTCTTGACAAATGATCAGAAACAGTGACATGTAAACATGTGTCTTGAGCTACAAGAGAAGGATAACAAGGACACAACTTTTATCTCTAGGATCATAATGGCTGAAAAAAGTGGATTTACAGTTATGATCCAGAAACAAAGCAACAATCACCAAAAAAGGCGCAGCAGATCCAGATTTCAACAAAAAGCATGCTCATTGCTTTTTTGATGTGAAGAGGATTGTTCACTATGTAGTGTTCCTCCTAACACTGCAGTCACTTTGGCACAACCACAACTGGCTCCATCACGACAATGTGTTCGTCCACATGTCCCTCAAATCCAAAGGGTTTGTTTGGATTTGAGGGACATGTGGACAAGCACATTGTAACAACATGGTTATTGTTCCTCATCCTCCCTACTGACCACCGCACTTAGCCCCCTGTGATTTCACTTTGTTTCCAAAATTGAAAATGAAGAGATAACATTTTGAAACAGTATCTGACATCCAAAGGAGTCACAAGTGGTACTCGACAGCATTAAGGAAAATTACTTTCACAGTGCTTTTGAAGCCTGGAAATAACAATGGAATTGCTGTATATGTTCTCAGGGAGACTATTTTGAAGGAAATGACAGCCAAAATTAAGTTGAGCAAGCATTTCTCTTTTGACCTAGTCCAGGAACTTTCAGACAGCACCTTGTAATGTTTTTAACATGTATGTTAATTTCGGGAGACAGTTAAACTAAAAATGTATCATAACATACCATATTATAACGTATAATAGTTAGTTAGTTATTTAGAGAGGGTGGGTTTCCCCATGTACCGTGACCAGTTTGATCTATTGTGCTTCCCTCTATGATATTCTACCAGTCTCTTTACCCTACCGATAAATGGTGCGTACCATCAGTCCCGCCGAGCAAGCAAATTCGGCCACTTGCTTAGCGGTTTCTATAATGCTTCCCCCATCTATCAGAGGCCTTAGAGACTATTGTTGGGCGGGAAACGTCCTGGAATTTGGCTCAGTGATCCCTTTTGGATATATGAGGTTCTTTTACGTGCCGTAAAGTTATGACACGGGACACACAGCTTAAAGTCCCTCCCGGAGGACTTGTTCCCTGAATTTTTCCACCCTTAAAAATTCGACGACCTCCGCCAGGTATTTGAACCCGCGTACCACGAGTCATGAGGTGGGAACGTTACCTCTAGACTACAGAGGCCGCTATAACGTATAATAACATCAGCCTTGTACATCCAGTACTAATGACTGTAGAAATGGAAGTACCTAAACTGTTTAAAAAAGTATTTTTATATCAGTGTATCTACAGCTTTGTTTAGCTCAAGACCTGTGTAAGTTGGGGACTCTAAAGTAGACAGTTTTCCTGGCTTTTACTGCCTTCCAGATCCTTACTTACTGATCATTCATGAGCCATCTTCAGTTCTTCATAACCTGTGCATCTGAAAGAATCATTAAATATGTTACACTCATTTCCTATTCTTGCTTTAATCCCACTTATATTTGGGAACGCCTAACATGGTCAGCCCTTTTCTATCCATTTTTCTTGTGCACTTAAAGAGGATTTGATCTATTGTCCCTGTGTGTTGCACACAGAAATTACATGCAGGGCACTGGACAGAGTCAAAATTTAAAATTTCCCCTTTTTTCATGTCCATAAGTAGCTATGAAATGGATGACAAGTTCACGTCCTATAGAGTGATATGCCTCTCTTTGCCACCACATGAAGATGTGTGAGGCTTAACTAGCCTCCTGTGCAGGTACCAGAAGCTCTTTCCTCAAGGATAATGTCAGCTGAATACTTCCATTTTATTCTTGAATGTGTGGAGATTTGCCTCACACCTTGTACCTAGCTTCATTACATGATACTGTTTCCTGCATTATTTGCACAAAACGTCTAAATGTAATTCATAATGGGGAGGTCCTTTTTGTCTATTTGAATGTTTCATCTCCAAAACTATATAACAAATTTGGTAATACTATATGGCAAATTTCATTTTGATCTATACTTATCCAGTTTAATCTTATTTTCTACAAAGTTCAAATCAAACTTGTTATTAAAAAACTCAATTTAATCCTGTGACCTCTTGTTAAGGTCTAGCAAAGCGGCCTCCGTAGTCTAGAGGTAACGTTCCCACCTCATCACTCGTGGTACACGGGTTGAAACCCGGCGGAGGTCGTCGAATTTTTAAGGTCGGAAAAATTCAGGGAAAAAGTCCTCCGGGAGGAACTTTAAGCCGTGGGTCCCGTGTCACTGAGCCAAATTACGGACATTTCCCGCCCAACAGCAGTCTCTAACACCTCTGGTAGATGGGGGAAGCATTATAGATACCGCTAAGCTAGTAGAGGCCGAACTCGCTGGCTGGGAGGGACTGATGGTAAGCACCAGTACCAGTAGGGTATAGAGACTGGTAGAATATCATAGAGGGAAGCAGAATGGACCAATACAGGTCTAAGTGCATGGGGAAACCCACCCTCTCCAATAACTAACTAATTAACTAACTAAGGTCCAGCATAAGATAATTTCTATCTTTGTCACTGCCTTGTCTCTTCTTTTTTTTGCCTGTCTTCACTTCATTCACTATACACTATTCTTGACTTTCTCACAGTCTTTTCCCCCTTCCCATTTTGAGCCCTTCTTATCTTCTTTAGTTTATTCACAAGTACAGTGTAATAGTACCCAGAAGACCTGCCAAAATACTAGATTCATATCTGAAGACCAATGAAGGCTGTAGAATGACAAAGGGTGCTTTGGGAAAATGTTACGCTCATAGTATTTTTCTACTGCAGTAAGATCTTTTATAGCTGATGAATTATCTTCGTGCTTCTAAGCCACTTTTGGATCCACAGACTATTAAATGATCAGTATCTCACATGTTTGGTATAGTAGTCAACAAGTGTAATTATTACTGGCACATCCAAAAGTACTTACAGCGTAAGAGTGAATGCCTTTGTCGTAATCACCCACGTTGGACACACACAATTAAATACTCAGCTGTCTATGAAAAATTGGAGTTGTATTACCATATTTGAGTGATCTGCAGTTTGAAACATGGTTTTCTTTCCAATTTCTGAGGGGTGCAGGCAGCAGACTCAAAGGTTCCCTTTGTCCTTGCCACTCAGCTTGTCACACATGAAACAACCATAGAAAGGAGGATAAAACAGTAAAAGTGTTCAATACAAGCTGTTAAGTTGCCAAGAGGAAACAAAAAATGAAGTTGCTATTTGTAAAATAACATTTTCAGCCCTGGTAAAATATATTGTGGGAACTGCCCACATTCAAGCAAGTGTGACAACGTGAGCTTCATTGCTTAGCAACGATGAGTAAACAGTGGTTGCTGTTATGATATATAATATGATGCTAACTAAACTTGGCAAATCAAAATAAAACAAGTTATACGACTGAGAAATACTGTTTTATATTATGGATATTCTACTTGAACTGAGTATAAACTTAAACTGTTGCAGGACACTGTTCCCAGTCCCAGTACGAAAACAGCTTGGTAAGGAAATGTACAGTCTTGCAGATGTTAATCCCCTGACACGGCCTTTCCAACTTACTATCGAGGAGTTTGGGCGACTGTGCCAGGCATACTGCAGTATATGTGATCGTGATCCTAGACTCTATAAATACAACCATCGAGCAGCCACAGAAGAACGTGAACATTTTGACAACTTGTATGATGAGGAACAAGATTTAATAGAAGATGTACCACACTGAAATACATGATGAACTCCTGTAAATTGTAATGACCTTAGAAAACATTTGTCACGATCAGTGTTAAGCAGCTGGTTTAGAAGTCGTAAGGTCTGTGATGTAATGAAACACTGTTTCCTAATACAAAAATAATAGCTGTAATTATATCAGTAAATACAATAAAACCCAAATTCAAAGTTTGTCTGGAGGACAAGTCTTTTGTACTTTCTGAAAACCTTAAATGGGGGTGGAGTTTGGAAACCAGAGCATATAATGACTATTGAACATAGTTAAATCAATAACAAGGCACTGAACCTTGTCAGTTGGAGCATGCCAAACTAAATCCCTTCAACACTAAAATAATACGCAAAACATTGACAAGGAAAATTAATACATTAGGCATATGGAGCTTTTGATGAGGCCAAAAAAGAAATGTGAGTCTGTAAGTCGTACACCATCAGCACGTTCACTTTTGTTGATGTCCAGCAGTGACTGCCCTACAGCACGAATAATCTCCTCTCTTGTGTTTTAACCTGTCCCTCACTGTGGTTCTTTCATTTTGGCAAAGAGATCATAACTGCACGGACTCATATCGGGTGAGTATGGCGGATGTTGCAGTATCTCCCATCGCCAGCGGCGAAGGAGATCCTTGACAGCATCAGCAGTATGAGCCCTTTGCATTGTCATGAAGGATAATGGGGTTCGTTGCCAACAAGTGTTTTCTCTTTCTCCTGAGTGCTGGATGAAGATGATTACGCAGGAAATTGCAGCAGTAGCCAGCGTTTACTCTCTGTCGAGGTACAATGTGGTGCAGTATCACTCCATCAATGTCATATGCAACAGTGAACATCGCCTTCACATTACTCTGCGTAGGGTGCACTTTCTTTGGACGAGGAGAGCCCGGATGCTTCCATTCATTTGTCGCTTCAAGTGCGGTTCGTATGAGTGAGCCCAAGTTTTGTCCAGAGTGACGATCCTTCCACAGAAGTCGTCATCTTCTTTCTGGTACCGGTCCAACAAGTCCTGTGCAGTTTTATAACGTTGCCATTGTTGCACCTCGGACATTGTATGCGGTACCCAACGCGCTGCAATTTTGCAGTATCCAAGAACATCATGCAGAATGTGGAGCACGGTTTTGTAACATATTATATATGAGACAAACACCGTCTTAAATGTAACAGGATGCTCAAATATAATATTTGTAACATATGCCTACCTCAGCAGCTAACTCCCACACAGCCCATCGACGATCAACATCCAGCAAAGAAGAAGCTGAATTGTGTGGCTGTCAGCATGGGGTCATCCTGAACGGCATCCCTCCCTTCACAGAACAATTTCTCCCATCATGCCACTGTGTGATATGGCAAAGCAGCATCACCACATGCTTTTCGCAGTCCCTGATAACAGTTTTGTGCACTACGACCTCATGCAAATTCCAATTTTTATCGAGGAGCATTGTTCTTAGGGCACTTGAACTGTGCTCCCTGCACTTCAAGACGATGCACAGTGCAACTCAATGAAACACAACCAGAGCCACTCACTGCACTACTTCAACTGAACTTCTATCAGCTACAGACGGCGCTAGTGCCACCTGACGCACATCTTTCATGTTACAGCAGTGCTGTCACTACTTTTTATCCAACCCTTGTATTTATGTCTGTCAGAATTATTTCCCACAGATGGATGAAAGTGAACACAGAGATGCAATTTCAGTTGTTTTCAAATTAAATTAATTCTCACCTACGTTCACTCTTCATGTTCACAAAGCTCTGAACACACGGTTTCCTAACTGAAGTGTCGGAAGGTATGCTAATAACCTGGCCTTCAAGAAGTTCAGATCTTACACAATTTGATCTTTCCATGTGAAGACATGAAAAACATTGTTTTTGCTGAGAAAATCTATGATCTGCAAACACCTACAAACAAGAATGACCATGATCACAGCTGAAGAGACACCCCAAAGGATCTGTTTCACTCTACCTGGACCAAAACTGAATACTTATTGGATATTTGCAGATATCAATGATGGCTACATCAAGATCTTAATGTACAACGACTTTGACAGATTCTCCACACCTCCCAGTTTTCTATTTTATACTTCAAAGATTATTAAATTTCAAAACTGAAGATTTCTTCAGTAAGCATGTATAACTTATGCCTCTTTATGCCAAAAAATAAGTTATTCCTACATTTATAATACATGTCCATATGCACAGACAGGAGACATCCTTATTACCAAGCAGGTGAAGATCAGTGTCTTCCCATTCAGCCTAGTCATAAGTCCATAGCAAAAACCTGTGCTAATTCCATCTTTCCTGCCTGGGACCTTTTCATGAAAGCTCTTCGTCACACAATGCCATCATATTCGTGTACATGAAACTTTCCCACTTTCCACAGCCAAACACTATTGTAGTATACATGAAGAATTTCCTTATACCAAAAAAAGTCTGGTACCCACCTGGTAGGAAGCTGGGTAAACCCTGTTGCAAGTCTGGACATGATGAAGCTGAGAAAATCCTGTCCTAGCCAGCCTGGCACCACAGCTATTCCAGCTATAAATAAAGGAGTTTCTAAAGAAAATTAAATTTTAAATTGAGTGGAACAAGGATGAGGTTTGTGGACTGATATATTTGACTTTAGGGAACAAATGACCGTGTAGTATCAATCTTTCAATCTTTATGCACTTGCTTGTGTTTTAACATTTTGTGGTGCTTCCTGGAATGCAAGTGATCATTCCACTGGATATCTCCAATAAATATTCTATCACACACATCACAATGGTGGGATATTAAGTCATTCTTCTTGGACTGCTCAATGACGGGTAGAGGTTCCACCTCTGCAGGTTTCTGACCTTCCATGTAGCTCTTCACTATCTGCACTGCAGGCTCCAGTACATGTTCATTCCAGAAGTTTGGATCAGTAGCATCAAGCCCATACATTGGTGGAACCTGGGTAAAATGGTGGAATATATCTATTAATTCAGTCTCCAAAGTACAAAGTGCATTTGAGGAGTAAGTTCCGTTTACAGTAAAAATACTGTCATGTGTATGTGTGACTACAGACGGGGTTTGGATTGGTGACTGGATTTATTGACCGCTTATACACACATGACTTGTGACTACACTTCATAGATCAATGACACACACAGATTAGTGTCCTCAGTTTATTACAGTCTCCACATATTTTAACACAGGAACTATAACAGTCTCACTGAATTACACGTATAAAGTCCTCTCTTCACAACATGACTTTCAACTGAACCCTTTTGCAACTAACTATTTCTTCACAGCCTCCCATACAGAATAGAACCATCAACTTACTTTGCCCCTTTCTTATAACAACTCAGCTCAGACCACACAGAAAACACTGTTTTTCTATTGCTGTGTTTATGTCCATTGCCACAGAAATGTCTTTACCAAGCCATTTCCCAGAAACAGCCATGGCACAGACCATACAAAACACTGTTTTCTGTTGTTGCATGCATGTTTGTTGTGGGCATTACCTAGCAGCAGCCGCTGCTTACAGAGTTACCGCCTAGCAACAGGTCTATATGCAACATTTTATCATTGAAAATAGAGCACACAAACTTTGCTGAAAAATAAACTATGATATGTTTCCTTCCTCTTGATTTATTTGCCACCTGCATACCTAACTTCTGAAACATAGTACATTGTGTATTATTTATATCTCTTACAATCATACAGACTTTCTTTGCAATAAGATATAGTCACTTCCATAATGTTTCAATCTTACAAGATGATCTTTATGCAGAAAATGGTCTTGCAAGACAAAAAACACGCCATTGACTGAATAGCTTATTTTAAATAAAATATGTGTGTGACAGTACATCATGAATCATGTGTAAGTTTACACAAACAGATGCAACATTAAAGAAGATTTTTAGTGGTACTTATGCTTTCCCCACTTAAATAGCTGACCCCTGTATAGTCATTAATTGAGATTTGGTACCTCACAGTGCATGTACTTCATCTCTGGGAAAGCCATATATCAGCCAAGTAAGATAGGTATAGGAACAACTTCAGTCCTTAATAAGCAGATGGAAAATTCACAGAAAAGAGACAGTCTGAAACATGACTGCTTTACACAATGACTGAGAGTCAAGCCACATGGAGATTTTCATTGGGAACATTAAAAACATTTGCATTGCGGAACTGACTATTCCTGGTAGGGCATTTGTAACATTAAGGTAATAGAATTTATATGTGGAGTCTTCTAACTGTAATAATAAAGTACATACTGTATTTCTAGTATAGCTGTGTTATGTATCAAACACAACAGTAACGGTGTTACCTCACCTGTCGACTAGACTTGCGTAGGAAGCGACTAGTGATCCAGCGCAGCTGGCGTCGGGCATATCGTCTGGTGACACGTTTCAGTTCATCCACTCCTGAATGGAGCAATTTGGAGCCTTTTTCAGAGCTGCGGTCTTCTTCACTGAGCACCAGATACTCGTGGAACTCCTTGAACCCAATTGACTGGAATATTCCCTTTGAGTAGTCTGGCTCGCTGCAGACAAAATAAATCTCGTTTTTATTTTGCTTTTAATAACATCAATGTGAACAAATATAGCAAACAAGTCAGTAATATCTAAACTTCATTATGTGGTACACTTAAGGTGTTCCTAGGGGTTCAAAGCTTCTCTGTCATATTATTAATGTCATATAATCCTGAGAACTTCTGAAAAGACTCCAGAAATGTAATTTAAACCTACTCATACTTAGTAGCACAGTCCATTTGCCCACTCTCACAGTATGTTTCTGTAATGGCACCACCCTTCAAGTAAGTGGAACATGTTTTACCTCGATGGTCACCCAGGTGGTATATTAATTAAGAAAACTGAATTATGGTACTGCTGTGACATTCATTTACAACCGCTGGTTCTCCTTTCATAAGTTTAGGACAACTGTTCTAGCTACCTAGTTCCAAAGATGGTTAACCAGCCATAGAAGGCATCAGAAAATCTCTGCCATGCTATCTTTTGGTTCTTGCATCTTGCGATAGGCAGGGCTGATCTATTAAGAATTTCTAATTATTGAAAGAAGGGTAATCTCAAGTTAACAGCTACACAGATCTCTACTTACGGTATAGCTTGACCAAGAGACATTGCAAGACTTACCTGTGCCATGTATACATGAATACATTTGTACAAACATCCTTACACATTATGAGTGAATGAATGTTCTGCAAAACCATGTTTATTTTTGCAAATTATGGATATATCTATACAAGACTGGCAGATTCGTGAATTTGCAATCTCTTGCACAACTCGAACAGCAGAATGGAAGTGGCATCTTGGGCATACATTTCATATTTTTTCAGTTGATTATGAAGTTCATTGTTCCTTACTTCTATAGCATATATATATATATATACACATTTTCAAAATGTTTCTTTGCAACTTGATATCCTTAATTATTCATTTTAATTTGCATTTATTGCAAGTAAAAAATCCACAGCTGACAAAGCTACCAAACAACGCACACATTATGCTGGTTCTGAATCATATGTTACATAACTGATAAAGGATATCAACATTACAGTTATTACACTGTTCAGACAAGAAATATTATTTTTCCCTGTACAGGGTGATCCATTTAATATTGTACCCAAATACAGAACACTGTATTTTACATGTACATCTCACTTAACATGAAACATAAATAAGTGTTCACAAAACATGCTGGAAATATCTTCAATTGTTCTGAATACAGTCCTCTTGGTCATGTTTTGAGAAACATAAATATGAGATGCATCGCAATGCTGCCAATAGCATTTTCAATACTTACTTTGAGTTTCTAAATGCATCTTGGATTATTCTGGTACACATGTTCATTTAGAAATCCCTAGAGTACAAACATGTCTGGAGATATAAGATTTTGGAATACAGGAAACAATAATCTCTCCAAAATGATCCTTTCTCTGAAAAATTTCTTCAGTGTACATACTGTAGCCCCAGCCATATGACACACAGTGTCTCCTGCTGAATCCAATGGTGTCTTTTACAAAGTTTCAGTAGGGAGAACTACATAATTATGCACTGATATACTTCAACATTGACTGTTTCTTAAACTAAACAATGGCCCTACAGTTCTACTCATATGCCTATGTGCTGAGGATTTTTCTTACTCTTAGGGTGAATGAGACTTAGTCCTTGGTACTTAAGCTGTAAATGACCCACTGTACCAGTCCCAGATTAGAGATGAGAGAAATGAGGTATTTTGTGACATGAGAATTGGCACAGGAAACTGAAGTTCTCAAAAGCAACTTGCCCCAGTGCCACTTTGTCCACCACAGATACCACATGAACTAGCCTGCAGCTGAAAACACACCACCACAGTGAGAAGCCAGTGACTAACTGTCCAATCTACGGCATGACCTACCTTCTCAGAATGTAAGGGCATTTCTTGTAATATGTGAGGATGCTCTTAGCTTCCAAAGCTGACTATCCTGTCAACTTGTGTTATCTGCTGAGGTTGAACCAGACTTCACCCATGAAGTATGTGTTACTCAGAATTTCAATCCCATGCATATGAAGCATCTACGAGTATATCAAGTACTAAGACTCCTGGGGAGTAAAGCGCGGCCAGCGCGTAAGGCTGACAACCTTACCGCCATCTTTGAGCCTATTGTCTAAATAATGTGGGACCCTCAACGTCTCACAACCCTATGGGCCTTCATGGCCTGTTACAGGGATAGCTTTACTTTATTTTAAAGCTATCCCTGTAACAGGCCATGGAGGCCCATTTGGTTGTGAGACGTTGAGGCTCCCACATTTTCTACCTATAGAATTCACTCACAGATGTTGGTGAGGTTGTCAGCCTTATGCGCCATCTGCCCTTTATCCCCAGGAAGATTCATTTCTGTTAGAGGCTGACTCAACCCAAAGGCCATAGTGCGGCTGGAAAGATTAGGTTAATTGAAAAATCCAATGACCTCATCGGGAATCGAATCCGCTACCTTCCGGCCTGTAGCATAGTGCCTCAACCAACCACGCTACTGCGTGCCCCTGTTATGTTATATGTCAATTACTGGCCACATCTTTTAGAAGATTGTTAAGTTCTACTTGTGCTTCAAGGAAAGCAAAGCTGGGTTATATTGGACCTCTACGAACCAAAATTATATTCGGTTGTCAAATTTTAATGGCGACGCCAAATTCCGAACTTCATCTAAACCCGTTATGAACTTTCCAAATATGAAGTGGTGAGGCGGCTTCTTCCCTTTGTGCGTCTGTTTATGCTCAACTCTACACAGAGTGCCTCTGCAGCAGTACTATCCCAGTCCTCCGTCGCCGATGTTGCTGAGAACCTTGAGTCATGCCGGTCATGACGTCATGTAACGGTGGCGTTGTTCAAGGTTGTGAGAGTACTGTGTCGCCGGTCATTGCCGCGGACGTCTGCAATACGAAGTGGGCAGTACACGGGGGGGGGGGNAAGGAAAAAAAAAAGCGAACAAGGGGATAGAAAATGCATGCAAGAATAATCAAATGGAGTCAAATACATGACGCGGGTTGGAAAGCAAAGGAGCATAAAATGAGCAATTCATGAATATGAAAAACTGAGAGTGAAGGTGAAGCTGTCCCTGTAGTTAATTAATTACGCAGCACGTCATGAAGACGCTTGGGTGACCAGAAATATAGCTCCATTCTTCTCAACCCGGGACACCAAATGGGAGTGGTCAGCTTCACGCGCCGGCCGCTTTACCCCTGGCGGAAACATCCTCTGCTACTCGCTAATCTGAAGGCTAGGTAAGTTCCACGAAAATCGAAAGAAATAAAAGAGAAAAGCAGTAAACCAACGAAAGCTTGCCGCTGGACCCTATGCTGAGCCAGTTCAACCCACTGCCCATGTTCATGCGTTCTGAGACCTATGTAACACTCATTCTACGTCCACCTCCTCCCAATGGTGTTCTCCCCTGGCCGAGATTTTCCAGCTCCCGTATATATTTTATCCCGAAGCGTGCTCCACGTCACACCGAACGAACCGCTATTGCAACCCAGCGGGAAGCCTATCAACAGCGTTTTTTCAATGGTCAGGAGATCAGCACACATAAAACAGGCTGAGAACCGCTGACAAAATTAATTTTGGGGAATTAACTAAAATTTGTCGGCACATTCTAATTTTGGAGGGGTCTCTGGGCTTTTTCTTGGGCATAATTGGGGCGAAAAATGCTTCGAACATAATACGTGAGAAACACAGACAACACTGTACGTCCAATGCAATTATTTCACACGTCTAACGGTTTTAGAGATAAATGAACATGAACTGCTACACTATGCGTACATTTCCTAACCTGTATATTCAACAGTCAACAATGAAGGGTCTTCCGGACACGCGTGGAGATTACAGAAGTCTTTTATTCCCGACAGTCATTAACCGAAGTTTTCTTTCGCCTGTAGTTATTTGCTGGTCAACCCTTCTTCTCCATGTATACATAAAGGTCTGTAATTACGCAGTTTCGGGTTAAGAGAGCAATGTATTGTCGAGCATTAACACGGTGCATGAACGTACGTGAATGTGATTATTTTGTACTGATATTATTGTATTTTGACATGGAAGTGTGAAGCGTAGTATACTAGATAAAGGAAGATGGTTTATAACTGATTTTTGTACGTGCAGTTGGTGAGATATGGTTTTAAAGGGCGACCTGCATAATAACATGCACAGCTGGAACGGAATACAGAAGACAGCAAGGTAAATTAATAGTACGAAACAAATAATGAGTTTTCCCGTTGAATTGTCATCGGGTGTTACACTAATATCATAAGAGAACAAATACGTATGGCTTATTCGAATAAATGCTTAAAATATTTACGCTTATCGCAATAAATATTTGAGCACTGATATTATCATGGATGTTATTCTTCCGAAAGCAAGTGTTAATAATAACAATGCCCTGTATACTTTTGCAGAGGGTATGAATTCCGCTTTCGAAACACATGTTCGTCTACTTTTCCCAGAAATTCTCCAATAAAAATGCTCTTCGATGGCCTGAATGATTCAAGGTAGGCACGACAGCTCAGGCGAACACGTGGCCGACATTTTACAGATTTTCTTTACGAAAATATAGAGAAGAATAAGAAGAGAACGAAGAAGAAACAAATAAAAAAAAAATGAGGATGAAGATGGTACATCTGCTATGAAATATCCACCAGATAATAAATACTACTTGTGTTGTTACCGTTTCGATCTAACTGCTATAACGGCGTATGTGTCCCGCAAAAGGAAGAAGGAAAGCACTGAATGGCTATGATGATGGTGGTTATAATCACATTTTGAATCGTTGCTCTGCAGGGGACGTGAGTCCACTTCTGTATCACTGTCAACATGCATGCTCTTGTCCATGCTTATCCCAGCGTCTCATTCACAACGTAGACGGAGGAACGTCTGGGCGGTGTATGTAGACTACTCACGTGCTTGTAGCAATCCTCTGTTCGTTATACAGCCGATGAAAATCCAGCAGCTCTCGCAACAATCCCTGCTCCAACATGGCGTCCACGCGCAAGTCTAAGCGCTTATCAAGAACCTCCTGTAAGGAACAACTTTTAATATTACTCATGCACAGAAAATGAATCGTTCAACAATTCTTCTATTCTTCTTTTGGCTTATTTTGGACTTCACCCATCGTCCGGTATATAAAAAAGACAAAAAACCACAACGTTTCGGAGGCTGGATCTGTCTCCGTCTCCGAAACGTTGTGGTTTTTTGTCTTTTTTATATACCGGACGATGGGTGAAGTCCAAAATAAGCCAAAAGAAGTACAGTATACACCATCGTCAGAATCCTTTCAAGTCAATTCTTCTATTGCTGTGTTCGTATTCGTTGCCACGGTAAACTATTTACCGAGTCGTTGCCTAGCAACGATAGGGGGATACATTTACAGACACGTAGACTGGTGGGAGGGATTTATGAAGTACACCGTTGAGAGGGGCTCAGGTGCTATGGTATATTCATACATACTAAGTTTCATCCAGATATTCAAAAGTTAATATGGGGAGTGTAACCTTCCATTAAAATTAGGCGCATTATAATGAATATTTGATACCTCATGACTCGAGGTACGCGGGTTCAAACCCGGCGGAGGTCGTGGAATTTTTAAGGGCGGAAAAATTCAGGGAACAAGTCCTCCGGGAGGGACTTTAAGCCGTGTGTCCCGTGTCGTAGATTTACGGCACGTGAAAGAACCTCATGTCTTTAGGAGACCTCTGAGCTAAATTACAGGTCCTTTCCCGCCCAAGTAGTCTCCAATGCCTCTGGTGGATGCGGGAAGCATCAAGGTACCGGGGGCCGACCTCGTTGGCTCTACGGGGCCTGATGGCACGCACCGTTACCGGTAGCGTATGGCGATAGTAGAAATTAACAGGGGGACGCACAATGGACCAATAACTGGTCTAAGTGCATGGCGATAGTAGAAATTAACAGGGGGACGCACAATGGACCAATAACTGGTCTAAGTGCATGGCGAAACCCACCCCCTTCCATAATACATACATACAATACATACATGAATATTTGATTAAGACTACTAAACTGTAAGCTATATGTCATAAGTCTGGATTACGGAGACAGCCACATTCTTACGTTCGCTCATTCTTGCTGTGTGAAGAGGATGTAGCCACCCGCAACTTTTCACAAAAAATTTAGCTGTTCCTACACAACGTCAGCGCTTTTTTAATATATTTGACATCTAAGACAAGCAATACACCAAAAGTAGGTTGGCCCGATACCCACGCTAAGCTTATCATATATCAAGGAGCTGTCAAAAGTGCCGTTTGTGTTTTCAGGGCTAAAATCGCTCAGCAAATTCATCTGATTCGGAAATGCAAAATTCTGACAGAGGCAACTTCTTGCGGAAGCTGAGACTGTGAGCAGCTCGCTGCTTCAGAGCAGATCAGTTCCAAACGCACTCTGGTTATACTTGACAGGCATCCGCGCTCCACAGAAATGCAGATCAACCTGTTAGACTATCTTACATACTAAATTATTACGTGATCATAGTGTAATTTTAGACTATAAATTCAACTTAAAAACTTCCATAAAGTTAAAGTGAATCTGTAGTCATTTACACATCAGTGTGACCCTACGTGTAATTTGCGGTGCTCTTCAACAAATCAATTATCAAGAGCCAACCATTGTTGTCATTATGTGCAAGTGTACGATGTATATGGTATAGTGTTCCTCCTGCCCTGTTAGAGCAAGGCCCGCTAAGACCCAGGGACTGATCTGTTCTACCATACCCGAACCTGAGACAGTCATCTCGCTACATATTCTTACCAGAAGGCAACCTTCAAATTTGTAGCCACCACCCCCTGGTGACTACTGTAGCCCAAACAAGCCCTTCAGCTTTCCCAACCAATCATATCAACACCCACGGAAGCGAAGGAGGTAAAGATAAACCCAGCGTAAGTGATTTTTACAACCATGGACGTAGCGGCAAACTAAGCCGCTACAAGGTGTCACTGCCAACTCGGCGCCCTCCATGCTCCGAAACTCAACTATCCAAAGGGCGAAACTGATATAAGTCGGTAACACCGCGGGACATGAAGTGCTAGAAGTGGCTCCCATCGCACCGCGCGAGGGGAAGAGAACCGCTACAGCACTGAAAACATTATGATCGCATAAGCCTACTCTTATTTTTTTTTTCAAAACAAGGAAAGTAGATTAGCAAGCCTGGAGCGTTACGGATACGCCAACCTGCTCGGTCCTTCAGCTGTAGAGACTAATCATAAGACTTTCCGTTGTGTCTTATTTTTATGTAACAACGCTTCATCAACTTCATGAATTAGGTATCAAGTGATACAATGACTGGTAATTTGGGATTGGCATGACAGGAAGCGGTTATAGCCTATTTTAAGGCTGAGGAAAATCGCGAGAACTGCAAGTCGTCAGGATAGCCTGTGTTTGGGGCCAGACCCCAACCCTGAATACCCGGAATGCGAAGGGGGAATTATAACCAGCAAAAAGGATACGCCATAAGCCACTTCACCTACCACCTGCCCCACACCTACCGCCCCAAGAAAGAAAGTTAATGCCATCCTACACGGTTATTTATCGACGGTGTGAAAACTATAGATTTTGCATCAAAAGGGAATGATGTCGTGGCCAATTTTAGTTCACTACATAGACCAAAGAACACTTTAGGGAAGACGGAGGGTGTGCTACTGGTCTGCAGACCAGTGGTCGAAGCAGTCACGTAATCGTAAGAGTCGCTTCTCTTTATTCACAACTGGTTCATAAATATGCACCTTCATGAATGGGAATAAGCGTTCTGCCACGGAAACAAGCGATGACTTGTATTTCCACATTTGCCGTAGTAGCTTCTATAATGACGCAGCATTATGAAACTGCATGGGCGCCGTGGCAGGTCCGTCGGCTGAATGCCAGACCGGCCACTGGGCCGATAAAACAGAATCATAACCGCATTTACAGTATTCACTTCTATAGTACTCTATGTTCGTTTCTCCTTCCGCGTCTTTATTTCTCCTTAATCGTTACTTTCTCTGTTCCTATCTCTTTCTTCCTACTTTCATTCCTTCCTGCTATCTTCCAGCTTCCCTTCAACGCCCTCTTTCATTATTTCTCCCTTTTTCCTATCTTTCCTCGATTCCCAGAAGTCACATGCGTTTTTTATTTATTCACTTTTTTACGTACTTGTGGTTTATTTAAAGGCATCGTCAGTAGCTCCGACAATGGAATCGAATGGTAGAGATAAAGTCGCCTCTGTGCTTCATTAAACATCAAGCAATGAAAACGTATGGTGGAAGAGAGGTATGGCTCCACGCATTCATAACCTCTGCACAAGATGGTGGTTGGATGGCCAGCTACATGCCTTTGTCGCTTCACACTCAGGGGAAAAATTCTCCCTTAGCCATTGGATTTTCGACCGGGTGAAGTCCAGAGCTGGTCTGGAAGCTGTGGACAAGGGAAGATTCTCTTGGCCCTGCTGGAAATCGAACTCGATTTCTCGGCCGTCAGCATCCAGTGGCAGAATGATAAAAATTATGAATCGAAAAGGATGTAAAAGGAAGCAGTCGTGATCTATATTAAACGGCTATTCACGCACTTTCCTGGAGGGTCTAAGGAAAACCACGAAAATACTGTCTAGTCGGTGTCCCGGCCGAAAGTCGACATGAAACCTCCTAAGTATATGTCATAAATCAGAGACTAACGTCTTCTGATCCGACTTGCGAGGCATAGTCTTCATGGTGCGGTGCTTAGTTAAGCACAGAGGAAGCTTTACTTAGGCCAAAACCAGCGCTAGGTTTAATACTTCCCAGTTTTCGGGAGGACGTCTCAGATGTATACCAAGAGGCACAATATGGAATAGAATTATAAGACCAAAAAAAAAACATTCGCTTAGTGGGGGGGTCCAACTGGGTCCACTCGACACGGCTGCCACTGATTGGCCTATTGTAGCCTGCCCCGGGTGTTTATGATGATGGAGAATTTGGTGGAATGAAGATTGGTAGGGGAAACCGAAGTACTCGGAGAAAACCCGCCCCAGCGCCACTGTACACCACAAATCCCACTTGACCAGACCCGGGATCGAACCCGGGCCGCCGCGGTGGGAAGCCAGCGACTAACGGCTTGAGTTATGGCGCGGCCATTATGACCAAAATTAAGTACTGAAGCACACCTCCGTTAAATACTTATTTTTTTCTTTTCCGAGATAAGCAGTTTCCGCCTGTCAAGTTATTTTACGTTTCCCTTCACTCTATAATCTAGGATTTTCTGCTTAACCCGTGTTCCGTTTACGGCATGTTTTACTGCAGAACACCAGCCTTCATTTGGTTTGGTGGGTCACCTTGGATTCGCAATGGCAAGGATTGTCACGTGCTCAGTCTAAACCAGTCAGCGTTCGTCAATCTTGGCTAGTGCTACTGAAAGTTGATCTTTGCTGTTGAAATGAAATGATTCCTTGAGAAGTTTCGAAGTACTGGATTTTCATGTTATTGTACTTCTAAAAAGGAATGGCCAATGAAGAAAGCGCGCCAGGAGGTGTATGAATACAGCGCGAGGCAGACAGTGGTGGGCGACGATGTTGCCAAATACGAGCGCATGCAGACTATGATTCGGAACAATGCAATGCCGTAACTTCGCATCTGTCTCTCTCGGCACCGCTGTTCGCATTATACAGACCGATCCAGTGCATACTGCGCTGATCCTGCCTGAGGCTGCAACATCTACCGTCTGTTACCACGACTGTACCGTATTTTCACCAGACCCTGTAGTACCAAATGCAAACCACTAACGGCCCGCTTTCAGTGCAGGAATGTTGGCTGGTTTTGTTCCTACGTTTTCCTCGTCTGGGCCGGAGTTCCAGGAACAGAGCACTTCGTGGGCGTATTCTTCAGTTCACCCAGGCCATTCAGAAATACAGTGCTGCTGGCAATATACATGCCTTTCTGATAAAGCAAGAAATTATTCTCCCCAGGCCTTCAGATGGGTGACTGTTAATTGATCATTCGGCTATAATTCACACTGCTTAAAGTACACGACTGTTAATTATCCATTCAAATGCAAATGCAAAAAATATCAAAAAAGCAAGGATATTTACAATACGCTGCTTTAATAGAGGATGTTTCACAAAAACCTCACAGATTTCAAACGCATTTCTAACGCCACTTTAGATGCTGCAATAAATGGTCATGTTATAAGCGGCTTTAGATTTCCCGGAAAGTAGTCGTTCCATTTTCCGCCCCAGAATGGCGCTGCGTCCGTGAGTTAAACAAAATGGCTACCCTTAAAAAAATGTTCTGTGTTGCTTCTGGTACCATGCTATAAAAACTGTGACGATGATGTAGAGGAAATATCGATCAAGATTTGGAAATGACGCAGGGCGGTGTGACATCAAAAACTTACAGAAGACGGTAGTCTCTGCAAGAGTGGGCCGGGCCGGCCATGGAGCAGTGACGCAAATGTGGAACGAGTTGGACAAGCTTTTTCACGCAGCCCACTAATCCATTCACGGAGCCAATAAACAGCTTACAAATGTCACCCGCAACTGTTTGACGGGTTCTGAAGAAGCGTTTGCACATGAAGCCACACAGACTGCTGTTACTTCAGGCAATGACAAATAATCTCGTTCAACTGTTTGTGTATATTTTCCTGGTATTATATCAGAAGATGAAAATCTCATGTTTGGGGTGATTTTTGGTGAAAAGGCGATTTTCATGCATCTGGCAAGGTAGGTACTCCTATGGAATCTGGAGCCTACAAAACCCAAAGGCTTCTGTCGAGCTGCAACGAAATTGCCAGAAGGTGAATCTGTTTTGTGCATTATCGGAGCAGAAAGTGTATATGCCATTCTTCTTTGCTGAGATCACGGTTACTAGTGCCACCTGCCTGGATTTCCTAGGGAACTGGCTGTGGCCACAGCTGACAGATGATATTCCGCAGAACTTGTTTCCCTTTCAGCAATACATAGCACCACCCCATTACCACCAGGAGGGTGCGACTAATCCCTTGGCCTCCAACGTTATCACAGCCTAACCACTAGAGTTCTCCTTCTTAGGGCATGTCAAAGAACACGTCTGAGTTCCACCACTGTCAAATACAGAAACTGAAGAAAGGCACTTCTGAAACCATCGAATCGGTAAATGTCGGTTCGTTACATGGAACCGTGCAGGAGACTAAATACAGGCTGGATGTTTGTTGTGTTACCATAGATGCACACATGGAGATCATAACTTGTAACTTGCAACCTTGTAACTTTTAATTTCCAACGTGCAACACTTACAACAGAACTATGCCATGCCCCCTGCTAATACGTGTTCGAAGTTTTGTCATTATTGAACTATAGTAAGAGATGTAAGTACCTGATATCAGAGCTCCGCTTGCCACCTGCTTTCACACTGGTTTCTTCCTTGACTTATTCTTCGACCCTTAAGATGGTGGCAACATGTTCCACCGAAACGTCAGTTGACGGTCAACAGACTACATGACGTTATATTCCATAAGGCAGAGCCACCGCTGTGATTGCTTCAAATCCTGCTCTATAATGACGGGCATCAGACACCTACCATGCGAGTTACACTCGGTTATCGCTCTACTTGACCTGCTCAACTTTGTAACCGGACAGTTGTATATTCGAACAGGGTGTCTCCTTAATTCGAATCTCACTCGTTACAACCTTAGTTAACCTGCTGACTATGCGGAATTCGAACAGGTGACTTCCCTAATGCGAAACAGAAGCGTTACCGTTTTAGTTAACCTGTGTTGTGACCGAGATTCAAACCAGATGGAGTCAACCGCACTGCGTCTGTGCCAATTCCTTCAGTGGCCATGTGTGTCTACAATACCTCGAATCTATTAGTTTGATTCCTGTTTCTCCGTTTCCCGGTGTGCCTCCTGAACGGCTCTTCGGTTTCCAGAATTCGCGAATCGGTATCCCGCCTTCTCTCCTGCTATACTGTATAAGCGACGTGAATGATGAAAGCAACAATAAACACTGCACACTGGCTCCCTATTGGATGAGAGTCATGGAAATGCCTTTGAGCACGGTTCACACCATGATGTTTTTCTTCATTCCTAGCATAGTCTATGAAACAGTCCACTTGATGCGTGGGCCCCCTACTGGGTATACTGTACCAGCCTCGAATGATAATATAGGAGTGTGGGACAGCTAGAAGAATGAGAATTGGTGGGGGGAAACAGCCAACAACAATCCCACCTGACCTGGGACCGAACCCAGACCACAGCGATAGGAAGGCTGCGACCAACGACCAAACCCAACAATAAGGGATTAAAAGGAACTTCACGGGTGGAAGTAAAAAGTACATATCACACTGAACCATACAATAAAAGACAGCCAAAACTTGCAAGAGAAAATGTTTCTGTTAAACAGGCGAAAGAGAGGTTGAAAGAGAATCCGTCTTCAAGTTGCTTGGGCACGAAGAAATTCGCATTCTGTTGGGTCTTTGGTACTGCTACCCTCATACTGATGTTTCTGTCTGTACGACTATATACATATTCACCGCAAATAATTCCAGTATGACGGCCGAGGGATCTGGAAAAGACACCAGCGCCATCTCTCTCTAAATCTCATATGGTCACATACTTCTTTTTTGGAAAGCTGAAAATAACAAAATTGCGACAGTCGGAAATACTTCGGGTCGATGACAGTGTAGTAAAGTTCTCCCTGTGTTTATGAAGAACGCCATGAATGCGTGCTGAGAGAGGAAATGTAAGCCACGAGACACGTGAGTAGCCAACTTCATGCTTCGGCCGCTTTACTCCTGGGAAAGCGCCCCCTCCGATATCCATTGGTGGGAAGTCCTAACTAATAACACGTTATAATCCGAGTTGTTTTATTTGTATCGTGCTATGCTGCATAAACGTCTGATAACATTAACGCCTGTAATAGCTATGTAGTGGGAAACCCCAGAATCCTCACCTGCTCGCACTGTAGCCAGAGAATGCACGCGTGCGGGTAACGGAGAGGACCGCCCAGCTCACTACCGCCATCTTCCGACCGCTGCTCCCGTAAGATGGCGCTGTGCGTGCGGCCCGTCTGTGCATAGACCTGTAGCGACCTGCAAAAATGAAGGGTAAAAAAAGGTAAAATGTAAAGCTATCCCTGTAACAGGCTGTAGAGGCTCATAGGGTTGCGAGACGTCGAAGCTCCCACATTTTCTAGACCAGCCATGTCCAACGGGGCGCCCTCCGTAACCACATATAATTGAGCCGATTTTTAATATTAATTCAAATTGTAAGACAAGAGACATTTTTGAACGTCTGAGTGCTGTTAAATATTTTCGCAAAATTTTATTATTATTATTAGTATTGTTGTTGTTGTATTACTATTATTATTATTATTATTAGTAGTAGTAGTAGTAGTAGTAGTAGTAGTAGTAGTGTGCGGTGGCGCCAGCACCTCCATGGGCATCAGTGAATTGTGCCCGAGTACATAAGAATGTTGGACAGCGGCTCACCGCCATCTGTGAGCCGCCCTGTAGCCCCAAGAATATTCCTGGTACTCATTTCTGTTAGAAGCTGAGACGACCCCCGGGCCATAGTGCAGCTGGAGGGATTAGGTCAACTAAAAAATCCAATGACTTCATCGGTAATCGAACCTGCGACCTTCCGGCTTGTAGCGAAGTGCCTCAACCAACTACGCTATGCATGTGTAAAGACTGGAAAACTAAAATGCACTTCTGTTCTCCGGAGTAAATTCATCAATTTGATATTAAAATTTGCTTTTTTAAAAGGACATAAAAGCGTAGGCCTGACAGAATTTGAAGCACACGCCATTTTCATATGCTTCCTTAGGATTTTGCATAAGCCTAACTGCTCATTTATAGCAGACAGCCAATAAAAACAAATGTTGGAAAAATAACGGCGCTACAGATGCCCCATTACATATTTAGAAATGTTTTCCTCTCATTTCGTTAAATAGTCATCACACAGAAACATGTTTCAAAAACAATTTGCAAACACTGTGTTTTTGTCTCGTGTGCCGAATTTCTGTACGATAAACCCTCTGTAGAGAATGGGGTGTACTTGACGGAACAGACCAATAAGAAATTACACAGAAACTTTTAATGAAGATGCTTAATACCTCATTTAATCTAAACCCGTACGGCAGTATCCGACATGAAACATAAGGAGAGATATAAAGTCGCATTATAGATTCGCCATGTATGGAGCAACACGAAGTTCACAAGATATTCTGATCCTGGAAAGCAGACACTAGCAAGATTAAGAACACTTGAGAATAATTTTGAAATGACATTCAGGAAATGAGTTGTTTGGACGAACTGAGCTGCCTTGCAGTAGGATCAAAATCCGCCACTGCCCTGCTTTATGCACGAGAGCCATGAAGATGGCTGTGAATACGCGAACGCATTTTCTTCCACCTGCAAATAATGGTAATTAAGTGGGAGTATGTGGGAAAAACTTCCTGGAGTAGCTCTTGGCGCCACTAATTGCGTAATGGCTTTCAATTGGCACACGTCCCAAGATCCAACTTGGTCGTCGTGAATCACGGCGACATCAGAATTCTCGGTACATAGACCACAGTGGCGGACTGGGCCGTTTCTTCTTCCTTTTTTTAAAATTCGCTTAGTGTGGGGTGGAGTCCAACTGGGTCCACTCGGCACGGCGGCCACTGAATGGCCTATTGTAGCCTGCCCCGGGTGATTATGATGATGGAGAATTTGGTGGAATGAAGATCGGCAGGAGAAACCGAAATTCTCGGAGAAAACCCGCCCCAGTGCCACTTTGTTCACCACGAATCCCACCCACTTGACCAGACCCGGGATCGGGAAGCCAGCGACTAACCGCTTGAGCTATGGCGCGACCTTATCTTCTTCCTTACTCGGTGCCTAGAGCAATGTCGGACAGAGCACATGCGAGTCCTAACTGGAGATCGACAGAAAATGAAATTACAATATGTATGAATTAAAACAGCTGGAAAACAGAACGGTAATATCTTAAGATAAACTGCGTATATATTTAGTTCCGTGGCCATGAAAAACGAGACACTTGATCCAGCTATTTCTCAAACTCATCTAGTCACCTGCAAACGATGTTTGTTGTTATTTGTATTCTGATCTATAACTGTTTGTCAGCCGATCCTATTTCAATTCATACAAACTGTACATTTCTCGAAGTCTCTAGAGCAATATGTCAGTTTGGCAGATCGATAGCCACGTTTCAGAGGAACCTGTTGCTTCCAGCTTCAAGATGGAGATAATACATCCTGCAATTATAAATACAGGCTCCGTAACTTGTTTGGTTGCAATTCTAATCTTTTTTCCCTGTTCAAAAATAACTGTATATTTTAACGGTTCTACGTCTGAAAGATACGTCAAAACTATAGAAAAATATAAATCTCGCCAAAATCTGCAACTATTATTCCAAACATTTCCTTTTTGAAAGAAAATAAATGTATACGCAGATTCCTGCAAAAAGAATGGTTCCGCTTTTATTAATTTATTGTTTGAAACATGTGTCAAAATGATGGCCTAGTGACAAAACTTGTACAGACTGATTAATCGAAATGCTGAATTGTAGAATATCACAGACCGAGAGATAAAGTCTCTCACTTGTTTAACTTAACGACGCCTCTTCAATTTCACGTAGCGCCGAATGGTATGATGTTTATGCGTCGAATTCGGAAATATGTGGACTTGTGCGGCCGTGACCTACTTAAGCACTTAAAGCGCTACTTCTTCTAAATAACATTGAAAGCAGTCAGTTTTATCTCACAGGAAACACGCTGCGTCTCCATTACAAAAACCAACTGATGAACGCAGTTCAAGGTAATCATCGCTGTTTACCCTGAGAATCATATGAAATGCACAGATAAATATTAAAGGAGGTGCTACATACAATAAGCACTTTAGCTTCAAATGGTGAACACACAACACTTCCATTCCTTTCCCTATAATACACATAAATCCATCTATCTGAATGTCTGTATATCTATGGCTCTACAGCCCTTGTGGAATTTGGCCGCTTTTTCAGTTTCTTGATCAACACAGTCGGTAGGACTCCTTGGACAGGGGATCAGCACATCGCAAGGCCGCTTCCTACACACAGAACAACACAAACACATAAAAACGCACACAGACATGCATGCCTCGAGTGAGATTCGAACCCAGGATCGCAGTGTACGAGCGAGAGAAGACGGTTCATGCCTTAGACCGCGCGGCAGGCCATTGTAATTGGCCAACATAAGGCCTCTGGAATAAAACAAGAAGTACCGGTTGGGCCTATCGAGCGGCTCACAGTACGAGTATTAATAAAATGATGATTCGAAGGGAAAGGGGCCCGTCACGATGGTCCTCATTCAGATGGAAAAAGGTGGAATTCAGCACCAACCTTCGGAGTAAGGCTTCAGGATCCAGCCATCTAAGCTATGGGATGATCTGTCGTCTCCGAACGCAAACAATCGTCCAGCTCTAAGCACCTGTGTGACCCACATGATAATGCATGTTCATACAAATTTCTTGAGCCTTCGCCATAATCTGGCTGCAAGCCACGCCGAAATTAATGCTTCCTGCGTTCTTTACGCAAGTGCATGAATGAGTATGCATAATGCGTATAACGTGTTTCTATTGGCATGTTTCACATCTCGAAGTACGTAACGAATCTAAATTTATATAGGGATTTTACAATAAACACTGTCACCTGGATTTGATTTTAGTCCCTACTGGTCCAAACTATTATTTTGCATTAAACTGAAATTGGACTTCACAAATTTCTG